ATAAGCATGAAAAATAGTCTATACATGCTCAACACACACTCAAACATAGGCTCCCTTTAGAGGCCAAAACATGCCCTTTTCAAGGACAACAAGGAGAGGGGGTGGCCCTCTCCCTTTAGAGACTTCTAGGCACCATCTCCACCACTGAAATCCCTCAAGATTTCAGTGGTGAAGAGACCCCAACACCAAAATCCCGGAGTTAGCACAAAATGGCTCAAAATGAGGCCTTTCAAGGCCTAAGAGGGGTCAACCACCCTCAAACAACAAAACACTCTTAATAAACAATCAAGAGGGTCTAAAAACAGAACTTTTTTGTATTATACACTAAGCTCAAAAATCTCGGCTAACCCTAAACATGGCATGTGAAATGCGATCAACTACCACATATTCAATTTGTGAATTGAAGTACAGATGCAGTTAGCGTGATGTACCGAGCCTAATGTATGTAATACAAATGTATGGATGCACGCATGCATAGCATAAGGTATGCTAATTTTAAAGATGCCCTAATCTACCATCATAAGCAGGTAAATAAAAGGGAAGAAAGAAGTGGGGATTGGAAGACATACATACCACCCACACACACTTATTACAGGTTTGCCCTCGCTCGGAGGGACCAAATAAATATTACAAATTAATTAACTACGCGAGCTAATTATATATTACAAATTGCCTAATCAACTAAGCAAATTTAATTAAACTAAGAAAACAGTAAATCGCCTCGGGAAATGCGCCGCCATGCGTGAGCTGCCTCTGTTTTCCTTCCTTCACTCCTCTGGAGGTTGCCAAAACCTCAGGACTGCTTTTCTCGACAATGAGGAGTGCCACCGGCTGAATGGAATTGCCACCGGCAGTGTGGTGTAGTCACCGGCACAAGATGAATCCAGCGGCAGCTTGTTTACTACCGGTCGGCAATATATACTACCGGTCGGCAAGGACTGCCTACAGAGCCTGCAATTGACAGCAACAGAGGGCAAGGCAAAGCATGGCAGCACAATTCAAAGCATATATGCACCATTCATGTCCCTTATCATGTTTGTGACTAAAAGGGGCACGTGTCTTGATTCTCGGACCACCAATCACGTGTTTCCATGCATGATGGCCCGAGTGATCAAGTATGCAACTTTTATGTCAAATGAAATGCAAACCAAACACACAACTCAAGGCCCAATTCCTATCATCAAGTCAAGGAACAAGGCATGCATGCAAGATGCAATGCAACCTAGGCATACAAGCTAAGGATGCAACATGGCACGGCAAGGCACTTATGCAAGCATACAAGCAAACATGAGGCAATGCAAATTGACGGCAAGATGGACTTAAACATGATTTGGGCAGCTCTAAATAGGCCCAAAACAGTGGCCAAAATACCCAAAAATAGAGGCTAAACACATATGCACACATACACATGATTAAGGGCCAACACTTAGGCATAAATTGGACAACCCTCAAGCACACTTGAAAGAGGCATTCATGGACAAATTAGCAGGCATTATAAGCCTTGGAAACATGTAGGAAATGATGCCAAATTAACCTACTCATGCAAGCTATACATACAACGAGGCCCAAGGACCTAAAGCATGATCATATGACTTATGAAGCAAATGACCAAATTGAACCAAAACAGTCCCAAATCATGCAGAAACAAGCCTCAAGAATCACTTAGAGGGCATCCAAGTAACCTAATCCTAGAGGCATACATCATGGCACAAATATGAAGTATGGAGCATCAACTCTTGAAGCAACAAAAGGACCACAAAATGCCAACATTTAGGCATGCTAAAAGGACTGAAACAACATGTAGGGTGGTTCCAAACCACCGAAATGATGCAAGCAACGCATGCTATACATGCACATACTTAAGGCCAACAAGCAAAAATGCAAAGGGGCTATATGATGCATGCCAAAATCAACCCAAACACTTATGGACAGACCTAAAACATGTCAAGATAAGCACAAAATCTTCACAAATGTAAGCCTAAAACATGCTAGAAACAAAGGCACACAACCTAAGACATGTTAAGGGATCACAAGGCATTACATGGAAACTATGCTAAGCATGCATGGAGTACCAAAACCAAGTAAAAACAGAGGTATGATATGACATATTAAACACAAAAAAACAACTAAGGCATGGTCAACATGAAGCCTAGCTAGGTGCTCTCTCAAGAGGCCAAAAATGGTCCATTTTAAGGACAACAAGGAGAGGGGGTGGCCCTCTCCTTTTGGAGACTTCAAGGCACCATCTCCACCGCTGAAATCCCTCAAGATTTCAATGGTGAAGAGGGTCAAACACCAAAGTCCCGAAACTAGCACAAAATAGCACAAAATGAGGCCTTTCAAGGCCTACGAGGGGTCAAACACCCTCAAACCACAAAACACCCTTAATAAACAATCAAGAGGACTAAAAAACAGAACTTTTTTGTGTTATACAATAAGCACGAAAATAGCTCTAAGATAGGTAGAAAATCAATGCAAAAATGGGGAATAATGGGACTAGATTCTCACCCTTGAAGACCCCTTTACAAATGATGCTCCAATGGCCCTCCTTGGCTTGAATCCAACACTAAAACTTCAAAATCAGTCCCTTAGAACCTCAGTAGCTAAGTGAAGGTGAAACACTAGGTGTTTGTGTGCAATAGTATGGACTAAACACACTAAAACACACACAAGAGGAAAAAAGAGAGAGATAATGTGTATCTAACCCTAACCCTAGAACTCAAACCCTAACAATGGCTGTCTAAGCTCTCCAAAAATATCTCAAGTCTCTAACCTTAGCAACTAGAGAGAACCCCTCCCTTTATGGAACTTCTTGTCTTGTAAAGCTTACAAGACAAGCTTCATAAGAGGGAGATCCCTCCATACACGTGTATGGAGGGGAGCAAAAAGCAAGACAGCTGTCTTAAAATATCTGCAAAAGCAGATGCACAGTAGTCGGCCGGCCAAAAATGCCATTTTGGCAAAAAAGAGTGCCGACCGGCAACAAAAAGTGCCGACCGATAAAAGTGCCGATTGGAAGCAAAAAACCAGCCGGTGGCCTCTAAGCCACTGCCGGGGGGGCGTGGGGATGGTCTACAAGCCCGTACCTCTGCCTCTCAAAGGCAAGATGTCAGTGTTTGGTGTGAACCCAGACACTAAACGGTCGAGTTCGGAGATCCTGAGGCAAGGCGCGTGAGCCGAGACCTCCGGGAACTCCAAACGAACACAAACATGGATAATCACCGAGTGTTCAAACGGTGACGTCCAAGTCTTGAGGATGGTAAAAAATGGGGTGTCTACACTAGCCTATACTCGGGTCGAGGTGGCATGATCTAGGGGATCCCTGAGACTCGGCAATATTTGCGGTAGGGCATTCTCTTGAACTACCCCTGACCCTTATGCGGCAGGACGTCCTCTGGGACTACCCCTGACCCTTTGGGATGATTGGGGATCATTGGTTAGGTGTGGCTAAGAAGAAGGGTTCGCCGAGGGAGTGATCTCCTCTTCGGGGTTTTCTCATCCTCGGAGAAGTCACCTCCTCGGAGAGGTCACCTCCTCGGACAAGGTGGTTAGAGAGAATATCCCCCATGTGCCTTGCACATGGGCTAAACTTGGGTCAAGTTATAATTGTTCAAGTTGACTCTGGTATATTGGTAATATGATCAGCTAAGCCTTGTTTAGCCACTCCAGGCTCCAGGAGCAACCGTTCATGGCCATTATGGGGAAATCCATTGCAAATGAGATACATGTAGCTCTAAATGTACTCCAAAAATTAGGTTGGGCACCCCATTACTTGAACACCCCAATTAAGAATTTAAATATTTATTTGTTTGTTTAGACACCCCAGATAATACCCATTATAACTCTAAAAATCAAAAAAATATAATGAGGGACATAGTCCATTGTCAAAAAAATATAACGAAACATCTTCTATAGAATACTGCTTGGAAACATCTTCTTAACCTATAGAAAACTGCTTGGAAACATCTTTTTCATTGTCTATTGTTGATTTTAATACGAAATAGAATGCAAGAATGATGGATTCAAGCAAATAGGGTTAGGTATGAAGATGCAAAGTGATGAGAGTAAGAAGAGGGGAGAGAGAAGAAATATTGGGGCTAATGATGAATGGGGTGTCCAAAACACTTTGATTTACACTTTTTCTAATGTCAGATACTTTTTGGTCATTTTAAATAGGGACTTAATGGTAATAAAAAAATTAATAAATTTGGATAATTTTATTTCCACGCATCATTTCCTCTCTATACACATCATCTTTTAAGGTACACACTTAATAAATTTGAAATATTTTATTTCTCTCAATCCACATACAATTGTTTGCATTATACCCTACCCAAGATATACACACCAAACTACACACACTCAACACTAATAAGAGGAGTTTTGTTCAAAACCTTCAATTCTTCAATCTTATTCTCCATAAAAAAACATTCAAAGCTTTGACATCTGCGCATCTAATTGACAATCAAACACGTCGATTTGTGGTTGACTGAATAAAGGAGGATCAATTTTTCAAATCATTCAATATTAGTTCTCCGAATACACTATTATTCATAAATTTGTTATTGAACTAAGACTCCTAATTCAGAAATCTAGTACCGAACAATATCTCCTCTCTCAAAGTTCAAATTCTAAACCAAATTTTTAATTCGATTATGTACCTTGTGAATAAGATTTTTTTATATTTTTATCTTCCTTTGTTGCTTTTTTTTTCTTTTTTCTTTTTAGTTATGCAAATATATGTATAAGTATAGAGATCATTACAAACAAAACTCATATTGCTCATACCAGACCAAGGAAACAATTCTTGAAAACTATAAACTAATTGAGCTCAACAAAAACCACACAATCAACAACTAATGTTTGGCTGAATCAGGCCTTTGACCCGACTGAGAGGGTAATTTTTGTGAAAATTGGACCGAGCTAGGAGATGGTCATTATGACCCATAGTACGAAGGGCTGGGTAAAAAGACCGTAAAGTTACTTCGGCCCAAGAGAGGTACAAAATTACTTCGGCCCGAGAGAAATGCAACGTTACTCCGGTCCGGAAGCGACTTGTAGTTATTCCGGTCTAGTGTTAGCCCGGTCAAGGCGCATTGTGGTGGGAACTGTCAGAACCTTGCTACTTGGAAGCTCGGTCTAAACAGACCATGGGTTGTACATGAGAGAACCGAGATAAGGAGGAGTAAAAGGAAGAACCGAACTAAGAATAGTTCGGCTTACTCTGTGGCTCGGCATAGCCAGTATTATTTCGGTCATGTTGTAGTTTGGCCATGGTAAAAACCATCTCACTTGGTTTAAGCAGTGAGAGGGGGTGTTGAAGGATAAGCATTATCTTTCAAGAGTACGAATCCTGGGAAGACTCTGCATGGAGGAGTAAAAGTCCTACTAGGATTGTCCCACACGAAACCTATAAAAGCTCACAAACATAACACACAACTTTGCTTTCTGAATACTCAGAGCTTTTGTCTATTTGTCAAGTTGACTGACTTAGGCATTGGAGAGGTTTCCGGCACACACCCGCCGGCTAGCTTACGTTTGTGTTTTCAGGTGATAAAACGATGACGTACAGAGGAAAGTAGACTTGGTCAACAGGATTATACGAGAAGGTTTATTTCTTTCCCATACACCGACCAATTATCATTGGCTCAATAATCTCCAAATCCATGAGAAGGAGTACACATAACATATAAATACATACATATATATAAAACTTGATAAAAATTTAATAAGAAAATCAAAAAAGAACCTTCTGTCAGATGTTTTGTGAAGGAACTTATGAACTTCAGAATAATAAGTTGTGTACTGAAAAAACTCATATTCTAATGTAAATTGTGTAATAATGTCTATATTAGTAATTTTGTTTGGTGATAAAAATATAATAAATTTTTTATTCATTAAGTGTGCACAAAAAAAAAATTTGATATGTGAAAATAGAAACTTTCTTAAATTAAAATGCCCAACTTAATTTTTAGAGTGCAAATAGAGTGACCTGTTCTTTTGGGGGTACATTCAATTAACTAAGGACAAAATAAACATTTTAATACAAAGTTATTTGTTCAATCTAATTGCTTAATGAATAACGGACATCCATGGATGATTAAATGTAATGTGAATTTAACAGTAAGGGAAGACAAATCATAGAGTTAACTGTAAGTTTTTCGAGATCGACATAATTTATTCCAAAAATATAAAAATAAAGGATAAGAAGATAAAGTGAAAAAAAAAAATTTTAATTTTATAAGTTTCATTTAACTCCTTTTCTTGATAAATCTAAAGATCCAAACATAACATTAACATTGATCAATTAGCAGTGCCGACCTGAAAAATGGAGCAAATGATACCACCAGAACAATGCTTATCCTTCAATATTAACAATGATCCAAACAGCACGTGAAATCACCTGGGTGTTCAACATTTTGTGAAAAATATGTAGAGCCTGAGATACAGACACTTCCTGGATCAAAGCATGCAATCTATAATCAGAATCTACAAATTTTCTTTTGCAAGAAACTTCAGAGGAAAAAGATTAAAATGGTCAAAAAATCCATAGAATGTCAAAACTGTTGATGTAACAAGGCAGTTTGGCTCTACCAGAAATAGCTAAAAAACAACCAAGTCCCCCAGAACAATGTTAAAAGTTATTTTCTTTTGAAATTTATGCATTTTTCATATAATAAACAACAAAGAAACAAGTTAATACATTTCCAATGTGATTACATTGCACCGCTATTCGTTAGATCATCAGCTTGTTTGTTAGGGCACGATGATGAAAGATGGCCTTTTTCACCACACTCATAGCAAGTTCTTCTCCTAATCTTTCCACTGACAGCGCTTGCATCACCATTATCAGTTTCCTTACTTGTCAGCAAAGATTTCGAATTGCTCTCTGTTACTACTTTCTTTAGATCGTCAGCTTGTTTGTTAGGGCACAATGATGAAAGATGGCCTTTTTCACCACACTCGTAGCAAGTTCTTCTCCTAATCTTTCCACTGACAGCGCTTGCATCACCATTATCAGTTTCCTTACTTGTCAGCAAAGATTTCGAATTGCTCTCTGTTACTACTTTCTTTAGATCGTCAGCTTGTTTGTTAGGGCACAATGATGAAAGATGGCCTTTTTCACCACACTCGTAGCAAGTTCTTCTCCTAATCTTTCCACTGACAGCGCTTGCATCACCATTATCAGTTTCCTTACTTGTCAGCAAAGATTTCGAATTGCTCTCTGTTACTACTTTCTTTAGATCGTCAGCTTGTTTGTTAGGGCACAATGATGAAAGATGGCCTTTTTCACCACACTCGTAGCAAGTTCTTCTCCTAATCTTTCCACTGACAGCGCTTGCATCACCATTATCAGTTTCCTTACTTGTCAGCAAAGATTTCGAATTGCTCTCTGTTACTACTTTCTTTAGATCGTCAGCTTGTTTGTTAGGGCACAATGATGAAAGATGGCCTTTTTCACCACACTCGTAGCAAGTTCTTCTCCTAATCTTTCCACTGACAGCGCTTGCATCACCATTATCAGTTTCCTTACTTGTCAGCAAAGATTTCGAATTGCTCTCTGTTACTACTTTCTTTAGATCGTCAGCTTGTTTGTTAGGGCACAATGATGAAAGATGGCCTTTTTCACCACACTCGTAGCAAGTTCTTCTCCTAATCTTTCCACTGACAGCGCTTGCATCACCATTATCAGTTTCCTTACTTGTCAGCAAAGATTTCGAATTGCTCTCTGTTACTACTTTCTTTAGATCGTCAGCTTGTTTGTTAGGGCACAATGATGAAAGATGGCCTTTTTCACCACACTCGTAGCAAGTTCTTCTCCTAATCTTTCCACTGACAGCGCTTGCATCACCATTATCAGTTTCCTTACTTGTCAGCAAAGATTTCGAATTGCTCTCTGTTACTACTTTCTTTAGATCGTCAGCTTGTTTGTTAGGGCACAATGATGAAAGATGGCCTTTTTCACCACACTCGTAGCAAGTTCTTCTCCTAATCTTTCCACTGACAGCGCTTGCATCACCATTATCAGTTTCCTTACTTGTCAGCAAAGATTTCGAATTGCTCTCTGTTACTACTTTCTTTAGATCGTCAGCTTGTTTGTTAGGGCACAATGATGAAAGATGGCCTTTTTCACCACACTCGTAGCAAGTTCTTCTCCTAATCTTTCCACTGACAGCGCTTGCATCACCATTATCAGTTTCCTTACTTGTCAGCAAAGATTTCGAATTGCTCTCTGTTACTACTTTCTTTAGATCGTCAGCTTGTTTGTTAGGGCACAATGATGAAAGATGGCCTTTTTCACCACACTCGTAGCAAGTTCTTCTCCTAATCTTTCCACTGACAGCGCTTGCATCACCATTATCAGTTTCCTTACTTGTCAGCAAAGATTTCGAATTGCTCTCTGTTACTACTTTCTTTAGATCGTCAGCTTGTTTGTTAGGGCACAATGATGAAAGATGGCCTTTTTCACCACACTCGTAGCAAGTTCTTCTCCTAATCTTTCCACTGACAGCGCTTGCATCACCATTATCAGTTTCCTTACTTGTCAGCAAAGATTTCGAATTGCTCTCTGTTACTACTTTCTTTAGATCGTCAGCTTGTTTGTTAGGGCACAATGATGAAAGATGGCCTTTTTCACCACACTCGTAGCAAGTTCTTCTCCTAATCTTTCCACTGACAGCGCTTGCATCACCATTATCAGTTTCCTTACTTGTCAGCAAAGATTTCGAATTGCTCTCTGTTACTACTTTCTTTAGATCGTCAGCTTGTTTGTTAGGGCACAATGATGAAAGATGGCCTTTTTCACCACACTCGTAGCAAGTTCTTCTCCTAATCTTTCCACTGACAGCGCTTGCATCACCATTATCAGTTTCCTTACTTGTCAGCAAAGATTTCGAATTGCTCTCTGTTACTACTTTCTTTAGATCGTCAGCTTGTTTGTTAGGGCACAATGATGAAAGATGGCCTTTTTCACCACACTCGTAGCAAGTTCTTCTCCTAATCTTTCCACTGACAGCGCTTGCATCACCATTATCAGTTTCCTTACTTGTCAGCAAAGATTTCGAATTGCTCTCTGTTACTACTTTCTTTAGATCGTCAGCTTGTTTGTTAGGGCACAATGATGAAAGATGGCCTTTTTCACCACACTCGTAGCAAGTTCTTCTCCTAATCTTTCCACTGACAGCGCTTGCATCACCATTATCAGTTTCCTTACTTGTCAGCAAAGATTTCGAATTGCTCTCTGTTACTACTTTCTTTAGATCGTCAGCTTGTTTGTTAGGGCACAATGATGAAAGATGGCCTTTTTCACCACACTCGTAGCAAGTTCTTCTCCTAATCTTTCCACTGACAGCGCTTGCATCACCATTATCAGTTTCCTTACTTGTCAGCAAAGATTTCGAATTGCTCTCTGTTACTACTTTCTTTAGATCGTCAGCTTGTTTGTTAGGGCACAATGATGAAAGATGGCCTTTTTCACCACACTCGTAGCAAGTTCTTCTCCTAATCTTTCCACTGACAGCGCTTGCATCACCATTATCAGTTTCCTTACTTGTCAGCAAAGATTTCGAATTGCTCTCTGTTACTACTTTCTTTAGATCGTCAGCTTGTTTGTTAGGGCACAATGATGAAAGATGGCCTTTTTCACCACACTCGTAGCAAGTTCTTCTCCTAATCTTTCCACTGACAGCGCTTGCATCACCATTATCAGTTTCCTTACTTGTCAGCAAAGATTTCGAATTGCTCTCTGTTACTACTTTCTTTAGATCGTCAGCTTGTTTGTTAGGGCACAATGATGAAAGATGGCCTTTTTCACCACACTCGTAGCAAGTTCTTCTCCTAATCTTTCCACTGACAGCGCTTGCATCACCATTATCAGTTTCCTTACTTGTCAGCAAAGATTTCGAATTGCTCTCTGTTACTACTTTCTTTAGATCGTCAGCTTGTTTGTTAGGGCACAATGATGAAAGATGGCCTTTTTCACCACACTCGTAGCAAGTTCTTCTCCTAATCTTTCCACTGACAGCGCTTGCATCACCATTATCAGTTTCCTTACTTGTCAGCAAAGATTTCGAATTGCTCTCTGTTACTACTTTCTTTAGATCGTCAGCTTGTTTGTTAGGGCACAATGATGAAAGATGGCCTTTTTCACCACACTCGTAGCAAGTTCTTCTCCTAATCTTTCCACTGACAGCGCTTGCATCACCATTATCAGTTTCCTTACTTGTCAGCAAAGATTTCGAATTGCTCTCTGTTACTACTTTCTTTAGATCGTCAGCTTGTTTGTTAGGGCACAATGATGAAAGATGGCCTTTTTCACCACACTCGTAGCAAGTTCTTCTCCTAATCTTTCCACTGACAGCGCTTGCATCACCATTATCAGTTTCCTTACTTGTCAGCAAAGATTTCGAATTGCTCTCTGTTACTACTTTCTTTAGATCGTCAGCTTGTTTGTTAGGGCACAATGATGAAAGATGGCCTTTTTCACCACACTCGTAGCAAGTTCTTCTCCTAATCTTTCCACTGACAGCGCTTGCATCACCATTATCAGTTTCCTTACTTGTCAGCAAAGATTTCGAATTGCTCTCTGTTACTACTTTCTTTAGATCGTCAGCTTGTTTGTTAGGGCACAATGATGAAAGATGGCCTTTTTCACCACACTCGTAGCAAGTTCTTCTCCTAATCTTTCCACTGACAGCGCTTGCATCACCATTATCAGTTTCCTTACTTGTCAGCAAAGATTTCGAATTGCTCTCTGTTACTACTTTCTTTAGATCGTCAGCTTGTTTGTTAGGGCACAATGATGAAAGATGGCCTTTTTCACCACACTCGTAGCAAGTTCTTCTCCTAATCTTTCCACTGACAGCGCTTGCATCACCATTATCAGTTTCCTTACTTGTCAGCAAAGATTTCGAATTGCTCTCTGTTACTACTTTCTTTAGATCGTCAGCTTGTTTGTTAGGGCACAATGATGAAAGATGGCCTTTTTCACCACACTCGTAGCAAGTTCTTCTCCTAATCTTTCCACTGACAGCGCTTGCATCACCATTATCAGTTTCCTTACTTGTCAGCAAAGATTTCGAATTGCTCTCTGTTACTACTTTCTTTAGATCGTCAGCTTGTTTGTTAGGGCACAATGATGAAAGATGGCCTTTTTCACCACACTCGTAGCAAGTTCTTCTCCTAATCTTTCAGTGTAGTTAGTCAGTTTATGCATGCTCCTCATCAGATTCACCTTGAGGCTGTCATGAGAATCTTGAGGTATTTGAAGTCTGCTCCTGGTAAGGTTCTGTATTTTTCAAAGTATGATTATCTTCGTGTAGAAGCCTATACAGATGCTGACTGGGCTGGGTCAGTAACTGATAGGAGATCAACTTCAGGGTATTGCACCTTTGTTGGAGGCAACCTAGTTACTTGGAGGAGTAATAAACAAAATGTGGTTGCCAGGTCAAGTGCAGAAGCTGAGTTTAGAGCTATGGCACAAGGTGTGTGTGAACTTTTATGGATCAAATTATTGTTGAGTGATCTAGGTATTGCTCAGACGGACTCCATGCGGTTATATTGTGATAATAAGGCCGCCATCAACATTGCTCACAATCCAGTTCAACACGACAGGACAAAACATATTGAGATTGATCGTCACTTCATTAAGGAGAAACTCACTAGTGGTACCATTTGTACTCCTTTTGTCCAGTCTGGTGAACAACTTGCTAACTTTCTCACCAAGGGGGTTGGGAATAAACCATTTCATGACATATTAGGCAAGTTGAGCATGAGAGATATCTTAGCACTAGCTTGAGGGGGAGTGTTAGCATATTATATTATTATCTGAGCCTTTTTTTGGTTTGTAATTATTCTATGCCCTCAGGGCTCGACATGTAATTGTCTCATCTTGTAAACCCTAATCTTCATTTATAAATAGGGAATGATATTCTATCAAACCCTCAAGCTGATTACTCAAGCTTCAAGGTTTCCTTGTGAATTTTGGTACATCTCAATCAATGTTTAAAATAAATCCCATCAATTGTCCTCCACTATTAGCACTGCATATGTAAAATTAGGTAGTGATGGGCATTTGAAGATATTCCATCACAGTAATGCCATTGGGTGGAGGGAGATTGTTGATATGATTACCCATGATTTAGGTGAATGTCAACATCCTCGCCACTGTGGTGAATATGGCTTATGCAGACAAGGCAAGTGTAGTTGTCCCATAGGCATTAATTGGGTTTGATATTTTGAGCAGACACAGAGCCAAAATGGAAAACATCAGCAACAGACTTAGCTTCAAATACCCTATATGGGTTGCTTTAGGATTACTTCTTTGTCTTGCCCACCACCCTTTGAGCAGAAGCATTATCTTGTTGAACTTAGAAATGTAAGCTACTTCAACCTCATCGACGAAGATGCTGTATTTCCAAATATCAGTGATAGAGAGATGCAAAGAGATCTGTTTGCTAAATTGTTCCTGTGGTGCAGTCTTTTTCAGGTACAACAATAATGTTGCAGATGGGTATTGTTATATCCCATCCACGGTATTGACAATTAGAGAAGGGCAAATCCCAAACCGCAGTTTTGCATCTGCAACATTTGTCAAGGTCAAATTCCCTATAAGGCAGCAAACGGACAAGTAAAGGCACTGTGCCTGACACTTCTCCACCTGCTTCACTTTCAAGAAATCGAAGAAATTTAAAAGCAATAATGGCATTGTCGTATGCTGGTGCCCTTTTAATTTTTGTTGTTACAATTGTTACATGCTTTGTGATGTTGCGCCCAAGCTGCTCTGAGGACGGGAGGACTGTATGAAGCAAGTTCCAGGAAGTCTAGTGAGGTTTTCATATGAACATCTATGTGTTGCAACAGAAGATTTTAAGGAGAGATTGGGAGGTCTGTGTTCAAAGGGATGCTGGAAGATGGCACTCAGATTGCAGCGAAGCGTTTGGATAAATTGGGCCAAGGGATGGGGGAATTCTTTGCTGAAGTTGAGATACTTGGACACATACACCATGCTAATCTTGTGAGGTTGATTGGGTTTTGTGCAGAAAAAGCTTGCAGGCTTCTAGTATACGAGTATATGACTAATGGCTTTTGGATAGCTGGATTTTCTGGAATAACCAGAGACCTTGCCTCAATTGGCAAGCTCGGAAGAAGATTATACTTCACATAGCCAAAGAGCTGGCTTACCCGCATGAAGCCAGCAGAGAATAATTCACCTCGATATAAAGCTACAAAACATTCTCTTGGATGGAGATTTTAATGCCAAAAATCTCTGATGTTGGGTTATCCAAGTTGATAAATAGAGACGAAAGCCATGTTCTAACCACAGTGAGAGGAACTCCTGGATATATTGCTCCAGAGTGGCGACTAGCAACAAGAGTCACCATCAAAGCTGATATTTATAGCTTTGGAATTGTTCTTCTTGAGATAGTTAGTGGCCAGAGAAACTTTGACAGCACAGTCAGAATCTAGAAAACATCTGCTTCAAGTGTTGAACTTTAAATTTCTGGCAGGCCTAAATGTGGAGTATGATCCAGTTAGGGGTCGAATTCTGGATATGGACACTCTTCCTTCACTTCAGGAGGCATTTGCCTATGTACAGAATGAGGAGAGTCGCCGGTCTGCTATGATGTCCCCTGTCTCTACTGACCGCTCAGCATTACTGTCTACTCCTCGAGATGGCCTTAGTCTGACTCCCATCCCTCCGTCTGCTGCTAAGGAGTCTGTATTCTGTGGTTATTGCAATAAGTCGCGGCACACTCGTGAGACGTGTTGGAAGCTTCATGGGACTCCATCCGGGGGTCGAGGTGATCGGTCTGGTTCTCGAGGAGGTCGGTCTGGCCAGTCTAGAGGCCGTGGTTCCTATTCTTGGGCTCATCAGTCTAGTGCTGTTGATACATTTGATTCTAATTCTGCTTCTGTTGGCCAAGCTTCTGATACTGAGCTAGAGGATGCTTTGCGCCAATTGTTGGACCGCCGATCTTCTACTGCTCTCAGTACAGCTTCCTCATCCTTTGCCCGCTCAGGTAACTTAGCCTCTTCTCCTTGTGTTTTCCTGTGTCATAAGTCTTTGCCTTGGATTATTGATTCCGGTGCCTCTGATCATATGTCTGGCTCCTCTGATCTTTTCTCTGTCTATAAACCCTTTTAAGGTCAGGACAAAGTTAGGATTGCAGATGGTACTGTTTCTTCCATTTCTAGAAAAAGTTTAGTCTAAGTCACTCCTACCATACATTTATCTTCTGTTCTCCATGTTCCCAAATTTTCTGTTAATCTGTTATCCTTGAGTCGTCTTACCCAGGATTTGAATTGTAGTGTGACGTTTTTCCCTGATCATTGTTTTTTTCAGGACCTTGTCACGAGGAGGATGATTGGTAGTGGTAGTGGTAGTGCAGAAAATGGTCTCTACTTCATAAATCAACCAGACAAACTTGCTTAGTCTTCCACCACGTCTTCTACTACCCCCGCTAATTTATGGCTGTGGCATCGGCGTCTTGGGCATCCTTTTTTTTATTTATTTACTTAAGCATTTATTTCCATCTGGTTTCGCAAATCATCATGTGTCGGACTTTCTTTGTGGGTCTTGTCAACTTGGAAAACAACACAGAGCTTCTTTGCTCCTAGTTTGAATAAAAGTTTAGTTCCTTTTTCATTAATACATTCTGACATTTGGGGTCCCTCTCGTGTTATGTCTGCGAAAGGTCATCGATGGTTTGTTACATTTATTGATGATTTTTCTCGTGCTACTTGTGTGTATCTCATGAAAGATAAGAGTGAGGTTTTTTCTGTGTTTCGCAATTTTCATAAGATGATTTGTACTCAGTTTGGGGCCATTGTCAAACTATTTCGTTCTGATAATGGCGGGGAATACATAGATTCTGGGTTAGGACTATATTTCTCTTCTCATGGCATTATCCATCAGACCTCTTGCACCAATACCCCTCAACAAAATGGGGTGGCAGAACGCAAGAATCGACATCTTCTTGACATGGCTCGGTGCATGTGTTTTTCTATGAGTGTGCCTCGGCCCTATTGGGGCGACGTTGTTCTCACCGCTGCCCATTTTATTAATCGTCTCCCCACCCAGGTCTTGCAAAAACAAGCTCCTCTTCACGTCTTCCTAGGTTTCCAATCCTTGTTTTCCATTTCTCTCAAAATATTTGGTTGTGTCTGTTTTGTTCATAATCACTCTCCTTCTCGTGGTATGTTGAACCCTCGCTCCCTCAAGTGAGTTTTCCTTGGTTACTCTCTTACTCAAAAGGGGTATAAATGTTACCACCCTTCTTCTCGTAAGTGGTTTGTGTCCATGGATGTTACTTTCTTTGAGTCCCAGTCCTATTTCTTGTCCTCTCCGGTGTCACCGTCCTCATTTTCGGGGGAGCCTTGGTATGAAGTGAGTCCTGTGCTTCCTATGGTGGAACTAATTGTTCTTGCACCACCCTCTTCTACTGGGACTATAGAACCCAATGTCACAAAGGATAAGGACGGGCATGTTTATGTCCGGGACATAGATAGACAACAAGTTAACTGGATACAAGGGACCACTTCTGCTCCTTCACTACAATCTCCTGCTTATGATGAGAGTCTAGGTAACTTTGAATCTCTTGAGTCCATTGATCTTGATGTTCCTATTGTCAAAAGGAAGGGTGTGAGATCTTGTACTCAACATCCTATCTCACAGTTTGTGTCCTACTTTCATTTGTCATTCTCATATAGAGCGTTTGTGTCCAATATTTCCTCTGTTAGCATTCCTAACCATTTTTAGGATGCTCTTGCTACCTCTGAGTGGAAACTAGCCATGATTGAGGAAATGAAAGCACTTAGGAAGAATGGCACTTGGGAATTGACTGAGTTACCTACGGGCAAACGACCTGTGGGATGTAAATGGGTATATACTGTGAAACACAAAGCAGATGGGTCTATTGAGCGTTACAAGGCAAGACTTGTGGCAAAAGGGTTTACTCAGACATATGGCATTGATTATCAGGAGACCTTCGCACCCGTGGCTAAGATGAATTCAGTCAGAGTACTTCTCTCTCTAGCAGCTAATCTAGATTGGCCACTTTATCAGTTTGATGTCAAGAATGCTTTTCTCCATGGTGACCTCGAAGAAGAAGTATATATGGACTGGCTGCAAGGCATGTGCCACTCCACTGGAACCCAATCAGAAATTGGGGGATGATAAAGGAGGAGA